ATGTTTCTGAAAAAGCTTTTTAACACAATATTTTTGGCAGGTTAACCTTGCAAAAATGCAAACCGCATAACTGAAACGTCGAGGCATTAGAATAGAGAATAATAGAGGGCCTCCTCATGGGTGGCATCTTGTTTCCCATTGACTGCATAAGCATTCTGGCTCTAACAGTACATTGTTCCAAGCATAGAGGAAGAAAAGGTGAAGAATTAACTGTGGTTGCTGGTATCTGGACGATTGAACTTGCACCACCGTGTCACCGTTAATTGTGAAATTTCTGGTTCCCTGTATATGAAATATACATCGACATCTGAAGTCGAGATACGAGTCCCGGCACATAAACAATTGCACCGAGATTTCCTGACCCAAAATTTGTATTCCATGTATGACAATTTTGTCGGGTATGACCAAGGTAGTGCTGCAAACCTTTATTCCATGCTATACTGAAATCATGACAGACGCAAAATGGTGCCTAGGGAGCATGTTTTATTGTGCATGGAAATTCTGCACCCCCATGAGGGGCAGCACGAGTGTGGTCAGTGAAGATGACTGCTGGCTATCTGCAGCTGCTTGTCCCTCCACAGCCTGCAAACAAAGTACACGAAAAGGGTGAATGTTGATAAAAACAAGCATTTTTAAAGACTATGTTACAGAAATTGCATAGAACAAGAGAATGCCAGGGGTGTGGTGAGCAGTAGTGTATGGCATACCACTGCTTTTATCTTCTTTTAGAACTCTTATGCAGTGCTGGAAATATCAAGAATGCGAGACTCCTGTAAGGCATTTTGTTTATGCGGGCACCTCCCTAACCAAGGAACTGCTCAGACCAGCAAGCTCATGCTGTGGGTCTTCCAGTACAACACGCAACCTATGAAGCAAGCAGCCTTGAGCAATGTGCACCTAGCATGCTCCAATTACTTTGCAGCAGACAGGCCTGCTCTGTCCATCACATGAAAAATGGAAAGCGAAAAGTTGGAAATCACTCACTTCGAAACACAACACAAGGTCCGAAAATGAAAAGGAGCAAAAACAGAAGAGTCCTGCATTCACTTTCCTTTATGCTATAACTGTCTGTCATAACTGATTCCCAATGACAAGTTAACTGTTGTTCCCGTCAATGTTTTTGGTGCTGTGGAAGTCCAGCTCTTCCGCATTGCATTGAGCAAACAACAAAGACTGTGAGCCCAAGCTGCTCTGGGTGTAACTCAATAAAGCAAGGACGAAGAAACTTGGCCTGGAATAATTCATTAGTGCCATATGACACAGGTTTTCTTTCGACGGTTCTCCAAACAATGCTTGCCAGCCAATTTTAGACCTTGACTGCACTTCTCTACATCTAGGGCACTCGTGCTGTAATGTTGGGTGCCCAGCAGCATGTGCAATGCAACCAGCTGCTCCCTCTGAGTGGGCGGGAGGTCCTAAACAGTGCAGCTGGGGGCAGTTCAGGCCCTCACCATCCAGGGTGGCAGTGTACAGCTGCAGCTGAAAAAGATTAGCACAAGTGACCGATGACCGGAGTAGCAAAATTGCGACAGGCAGCGCTATTGTTCCCGAGCGCGCCGATAGCAAGTGCCAGTCATGTTCCATGTCTCAAGGTTGGTGGCTGCCAGAAAATTGAGGGATAAGATAGCTTTCGGAATGCAAGCTTTAGGATGGGCTGCTTTGTGCCGGCCACCACCGTGTGTCGCGAATTTGCTGCTCCGGTCGTTGGTCGCTTGTGCTTATCTTTTTTCGCTGCAGCTCTACCTGATGACTGGTGCACAGCTGACATGACACAGTTTCAGTAGCATGCATACATGGTTTGCAGGTAATGTCATGTCAGTATAAAAGACAAGACCTTTGAGTACTTCCAAGGGCACCGTGTTGGTGACCACCACTTGGTACATGTCAGATGTGGTTAATGGCAGAGGCTGCTCATATTGCCATGCACGTCTCCGAGCAAGCTTGCCCGTGGCCGAATGGTTATTGTGCTTAGCTTGCACACAAAGGGCTGAGGTATGATGCCTGGCCGCACATGCACCTTTTTGTTATTTCTGTAAATGTTGCCTTCTGGTTTAATTCAAGAATCCCATTGCTTGTTCAAAGTCAGAATGTTCTACGCACCAAACTTTCTACACGGATGTACATGAGGGGCTCGATCGTGCTAGTCCGCCGACCTTCGATGCCTGTGATGTTACCTCTTTGTATTTTTGTTTTCGGCACAAGTTTGCCAAATTAAACGTTTAGTTTCTGTTCATTCATCACCTGACCATCTGTCATTCACGAAATTTTGGTGGATGTGCGGGACATTAACAAAAAGGTGCATGCGCGGCCAGAAATCGAACCTTGGCCCTTCGTGTGGGAACCAAGTATGAGAACCATTCGGCCACGGGCGCGCTTGCTCGGAGACGTGCGGGGAAATACGTGCTAGTGCACGCACTTGGGCTAAGCCTAGGCAGAAGTTTAAACCGTCAAGTGATGATGACAAAGTTTGTCCGTGTTTGTCCAGTTCAGTATGCAGAAAATATTGCTCTGTGTGGTGGCGAGAACCATCTGCTACTTACTCTCAACTGTGACAGATTGTGATATCTAGCCAAAGGTGGAGGACGTGAATACCTGAGTGCAAAAAATGAAGAGAAGTATACGGAACTGCACACCAATGATTTTGCCGAGTTCGACAGGCAATGCCCAGCCAGGTGCGTCCTGCTTCCACAGCCCTTTGCAGCAAATATTTTTAGAAGTGGACCTTTTATATAAATAGCAGACACCGGTTTTGGAATTGGTGAGCCAGTTTTGTCTTAGTGTCATTCCCTTGTCAATTTCATGGCAGTGGGTAGATGTGGTGTTGCCGGGAATGTTCGGTGGAAGCAGGTTGCTGTTGGGAAACAGGACCGGAGGCACCGTCTTTTTCCTGACACAGTCTCATTAATTGGATCTGTGTCTTGTCCGACACAAAACTCAAGTAACCATGTGTGGATTGTCTCTGCACCATGTGTACACTTAAGTTTTTGTAAGTCTTGCTGAGGTGTCACCTTGCTAGAAACATCAACACGGTTGGACCTACAGTCACCTTGGGAGCTACCGACCAGGCACAATATGTTAATGACAGCATCTTCTACATAGCTATGCACAGTGCAGGTCATGTTCACATTTTTGTGCAATTGCTGAGATGGGTACAAAAGCTGTCACTTTGGGCCACTGGAGCCAGCGCAGTTCACCATGATCACAGTGTAGCAAAGCTGCAACCCCACAACATCAATGGCCACCAGCATGAGGCTACCGACGACACTCATGCATAATACATGTCCTGACACAGGCGCAAACCACGTATTATGGAGATGAATCCAAACTGTTTTTTATACCTACCATTTGGTGGTGGTGGAGCTGCCATCTGTGCTGGGTCCTCACTAGCACCTTTGGCCACAGCAGATGAGTCCTGCATCATCCAATCAAACACAAGTTAATGCACAACAAATTGGCAGCCTTTCTGGTTCCGCGTTGATGTAATGCCCATTGCCTACACTTTAGAATTCAGGTATCGGAGTGCCTCATGCACAGCTCTAGAGAAATTAACTCGTCAGCTTGAGCGCTACGATCCGAGCTTTCAAAGAAACATCACGAGGCAGCACACTCGTGCAAAGTCAATAAGACCAAAAACAACACAGTGTCTGTTTACTACACGTAGCAAGTTTTAGGAGACCGTTACCGTGTTCTGCGGTGGCCACGGTACGGCTGGTAAGGCTTTAAGCGCGCTGAAAAGCGTGCTTCAAAGTTACAGCGCGAGCTCCCAGTAGCAATTTCGGTGCGCACGGCAACGGTACGCTAAAACCGCCCATTGAGATGCCATGCACTTACTTACCGACACTGCAGCCGAGATGCCGTGTGGCGACGGACGAGGCGCGTCCGCCCTCGAAATCATGCGCCTTCTTCCGTGTCTTAGCGAGGAACCTTTCTCATATGGGCCAAGATTCTGTCCTACTCGAGTTCAGCGAGGACACTTGGTTCACGTCCCCCACCAGACTGCCGAGTGGTAATCGTGACGTGAAAAAGCCCGACTTGACAGCAAAAATTCCAAAAAAATAGGCAAATCTTCGTACAGACACACGAGCACTTTACGTGCGACAACCACCGTCGGCCATGACGATTCATCACGATCGCGATGCAGCTCACGCATTGCGATCATCTAAATTGTTTCACTTACGTAGAAAGACATGATTCATGCGACCTAGACTTGACACCGGTAATTATATTTAGATTGTACCGCATTATACATTTTCAGAAGTTAAAAATGTTGCTTTTACGAGACCCTTCGATGCGGCGTTGCGCATTTCCCTCTAGGGACATATTTTGGGGACAAATCCCGATGAAGTTTCAACTCAATCGCCACTCTCCGTCGACGTCATCAACGCGCCGCGATGAAGTTCCCTGCCAGTTGAGTTCGCCGCCGATTGAGATTAGACTCCTCCCACCGGCGACGTCACGATGAAGTTTCTTCATCGCTTTTTCCAGCATAGACAGACAGACCGGCGCGGACCAGTGGCGCGGACGGTGCCGATAAACATCCGGCACCGCGGGCCTCCACCCACGAGTCGACGCCGCCACGCCACTCCACGCCGACTAGTACACTCATGTGTAGTTTCTGTAGTTTCTAGCTTTCTAGGGAAGTATGGAGGGGAAGTAAAAAGCACCAGAAAAAAATCGTATGTTTGTATCATAGTTTGTATTAGTTTATGCCACCGTGGTTTATGCGCAGATCTGTCTGCTTCTTGCGCAGAAGTTTGGTGACGTCAGAACAGCGCCAAGCTCTGATTGGCTTTGATTGAATGGATAGAGGGTAGACCTAAATGCTAGATGCCTTGAGCTTTACCCACTATTTTTATCACGTTCTGTCAGCATCGCAACCCCTGTGCAAGAAGCAGATGAACTTGCGCTCCACATAGGCTAGGTGGCGCAAGCTACAACCCATTATAAAGTGAACAGCGTTAACGTTCTGCACTGACGTTCTGACGTTCATCCATCGATCCACACACTAAACAAACAACAACATGGCGCCGCGCACGTAACGTGCTTTTGACGACCAAATTCGCAACATTTGGTACGTTTTCTGTCACGTTGTTGCACCTGAACTAGATTGCTCCACATAATCTCGCAGCCTGAGAGCTAGTGCAGGAAGCCAATGAACAGTGACGTCTCGCAGTAGAAATCGGGTAGGCTTCTGCGTCTTACGAGAAACATCCCGCTGAGTGCTTGCAGCAGGTCTTTCACGCTGAGCGATATTCTACTGGAGCCCGCACCTCCACTTTTTTTTTTTTTTTTTTTTTTTTATTTGATTAGGGGCAAGGCGCCATGGCCGGAATCGAGCAATGGGTCAGCGATCAGCTCCACTCGATCCTGGGGCTCAGCGATCGGTATGTGGCACAGTTCCTCGTTCACTTGGCCAAGAAGAGCAGCTCCAAGCAAGACCTCGTACGCAAGATCCAGGACACCGGCACGATCACGGTCAACGATCAGGTGGTCGGATTCGTCGGCCAGCTCTACGACCAGGTGAATGGACCTTTTTCATAGTTCGACCACGATCGTGGCGCGCCCTCGCGGAAATCGCTCGAAACACTTTTGGTGGCCCTGGTACCGTCTGTCCGTCGTCTGCGCCAGGCCTGGCGTTCCTCCCGGTCCATGTGTTTACGTGTCTACTCTGGTGGCGTTGTTCCGTCTTTCCCCATTCTGAACGTGTCTTTCTGTCTTCATTTCGCGTGCATATTTTCTTCGAAATGGCTGAGGACGACTTGGAGGATTAACAAAAGCTACTGTCTACGATATAGAGGACCTTGTTCGTTTTTATACCTTCAAGGGTGCTTACACATCCGACGCTCCATCAGTTCCTACCATCGACTCGGAGCCACTTAATCGTCACTTCGGTATCGCGTCTTGCAATTGGCTACTTAGAGAGGGGTCTGCTTTCAAGGAAGAGTCGCAGAGTGTTATGTAAGGAAAGTAATGGTGACCAGTTTCGATACCGACCCAACCATCTACCCTGTGCGGAGCTTGTGAGCTCCGTTTATAAGGTCCGGCCACTACAAGCAGCTGATATTTCTTCCCTCGATCGCTTAAGTTATTCGAGCTTATTGCGTCCGTCACTTCGCCGTCCTGTGTACCGCGCGAACGCACGAGCATCACCGTATTTGGGAATGTGTAAACAAACTCGGGCGGTGTGAAATTCGGGCGGTCCTGATGTCGCGAAGGCTCGCCTGCACGAACAAAAAGAAAGGAACGGCATGTTAGAAAAATCTCTCTTTTAATTCAGCACGTTTACAAACCTTCGACAAAGTGAACCCGGCAAACAACGGAGTTCACGGTTGGTTGCCAAGGCATTCCATCGGGGTTCTGTCTCCGTAAGGCTTAAATTCGTCTTGCACGCTTTAAATGTTTTGCCAGCGACTGATATTTTTATGTGATTTTTCTTCTCTTTTAACATGGTAAGACGCGAATGTCTATAGCGCACGCCTGAAGGACGGAAAGATTTATCATGTTATTCTTTACTTGAATACCATGTACGGCATGATTACGTCAGACAACCTCGCGTGCACATTTACTATTAACGGACAAATAGTCAGAGTGTAGGCGAGCTGGTGTAAGTTGAACATGGTGGTAAACTTGATATACGAATACATGATAGAACATCGAGGACAGGGACGGAAACAGGATTTCTTTGAGAAGTCCTGTGTCCTTGATCTTTTACCCTTTCATGTATTCATATCTATTCACCAACACGCTCATTTTCAAGCATTAAACCTGAGACTGGTGTAGGAAAAGGAAAACGCAAAAAAAAAACAGGCATCGTCTCAAGAGACGTTGCCTGTTCATTTTCTGCCTCCTTTTGCGTTTTCGTTTTCCTGCCCCAGTTTCTGGTTTACCATCATGTTCAGATTTACTGTATTAGTTAAAATCAGAATGTCCCGCCGCCACATTGATGACCCAGCCAGCTGACACGGGGGATTCGCGTCCTATAGGCTTTTGAAAGCAGGCAAAAAGGGCGGGGTGTTTGACATCGAGTCTTTTTGTGCACCACCCACAAAGGCTGCTGAAACTCCATAAAGGCTTCCATTTGAACCATTTTTGCTTTTATTTGTTCAACGTACAGCTGCGCGGTGGTGAGGCGCGACGACTATGAAGCCAAGCTGCGAGAATAGCGGAGGAGTCAACCCGAACCAGCACTGTCTGTGCGACCGAGCGGACTTGAGAGCCACCAAAAATGGCGCCTTTCCCTTCCTTCCCCTCTCTTTCAGAGTCGGCGCATGCGCCCAGCGATCTCTGAAAAAGGTCAATTGGCGAGTCTTGTCTCGCCTACATCGCTGACCTGTGGACGCCGAATTGGCACAACAAAAGCAAGGTTGTCAGAATCTACACAAGGCTCGTGGTCACGTTACTGTGAGCCCTGTGTACTAACTTACTCGGCCCTCTTCTTTATTCCGAGATTAAGAAAAGGAAAATCTACTGTGAAGGAAGGACACACAGTTTTGTCTTGGAAGTGGCGTTTGAACAACTCGAACATGTGTGGGGTGCCAACAGTGGATCTTGGCGCTGTAAGACGAGCCGGAAAGAATGGCCATTTGCGCATACAAAGCTGGAAAGTTCACCAAACGTGCATTTAAGTTGCACATTTTACTTGATGAAATTTCAAGGCACTGCTACCTTTCTGTGAAAAATGAGGCCAACAAATTTGAACAAGGCCATGGCAAGCATGTTCGCAGATGACAGAGTTAGCGATGGTCGTAACTGGAAAGTTCACCAAACGTGCATTTAGGTTGCACATTTTACTTGATGAAATTTCAAGGCACTGTTATCTTCCTGTGAAAAATGAGGCCAACAAATTTGAACAAGTCCATGGCGGGCATGTTCGCAGACGACAGAGTTAGCGATGGTCATAACTCTTGGCATCATTTTTTGATAAGAGCAGTGAGCAGACATACAAGTGTGTTGTCTGCTCACTGCGCTTATGGACGCCACTAATTGCAGCCATCGCTAATTGAGCAGAAATAGGGCCTTCATAGAAGAAACGTCAAATTGCTGTCACATTTCAATGTAGTCTGCAGTAACAGACTGCAGAAACTCAACCCCATATTTTTCTTCTATCTTTCCAAGAATATTGTGTTTATTTTAACAAGTTTGGGTTTTTTTCTCCAAGCTACAGACAACCACATTTTGCAGGTTCCGCATCAGGAGCAGCGTGAGAAACCGGCCAGGGCTCACGAGCGAGCCATCAGGGAGGCCCTTGAGCAGAATGCAAAGTATGAGCTGCTTCCAGACAGTGACGACGAAGCCAGTACAGCTTCCGCCGTCAAGAAGGTGTGTCTTTCTTTTTTTATCATTGTCCCTGCATTCTTGTTTCACATTCTGTTTACTCTTCGATGCAGAAATCAACCAAAAAGCGCCACCTTCGGAAGAAAGATACCACGGATGACGCTAGCGACGATGAGAGGTATGAGTGAAGTTGTTCCCACAAACGCGTTCTATGACAAATTTTTCCACATATCCTATAAAGTAGGGCTATTAGGAGTCCGTTGTTTCCTCATGACCTGTGAATAGTTCTAAATAGACCCTGCGTATGTCTGTATGGAAGACTTCATGGTATACTGCAAAGAATTCCTTGAAACTTTGACTCTTGCAGTTGTCCTTATTGGAAAGTAAAGTGTTTCAATGGTTGGACATAGTTTAGGCATAGTTATAGAACATACTGGTGTGTTCCTGCAAGCCAAAATCTCGCCTTTCTATTGCATATAGTATTGGCAATAAAGTTTGTAACTATTGAAAACGAGCGTGTTGGTTAATAGAACATTTCTGCACCTTCATTATCATTCACAAAGACAGAGGTTGAATTCCTAACACCAGAGATGACTAGATTACTGACACCTCGTCGTGACGCTAGAGCTTTTTAAACTTTTATATTTATGGTACATTTTCCTTTGGGACTGTAAACAACAATATTTCTGCACCTTCATTATTATTGACAATGACAAAGGTCGAATTCTAAGTAATCGGAGATAACTAGATTAGTGATACCTTCTCGTGACGCCAGCGCTTTTTAAACTTTTATATTTATAGTAAATTCCCATTTCTTTATAACAATTATCTCCTTTTTCTCTTTGAGGCCATCCTTTGTTGTTGCTAGATGAAAGAAGACCTGTTCCCGTCCTCGTCCTCGCTGTTTTACACTTTCAAGTTTTCAAAAAGTTTGTAAGCTTGTGAACTACTATTTTAAGAATAATGTTAGTTAAAAATATGAGTTCCCCAGTGTCTTTAAAGGGAAGAATGAATTCCTTAATGGTTCACCAAACTCCTTCCAAAAATGTTTTGAAGTGACTTGATAGGACATTGCCTCAGTAAGACACACATGGCACAAAGTTACTACCCCCCCCCCTCTCCCCCTCCAAGAAAAGTATAATATCTATGTTCCGAGACTCGTTTGAGCTATTATGAGACATGCTTTTACCGTATTTTAGGGTCGTCGTCTCGAAGAAAGACATGTTTTGGAATATTTTCATGCTTAAAAAAGTCCCGCAATGCAAATATGGTGCTACATTTCTTTTTATTTTTTAAGAGAAACTTCAGTTTTAAGACATGTGTTCAATTCAGGCACCTAAAAGAAATGTTTTTTGGGGGGGGGGGGGGGGGGGGGGGGGGGTAGAGATTAGTGTCCCCTTTAAGACCAAAGGGTCTGAGATCACTGAGATCGGGCGCTGTCTTCATCTGCAGCCAAAGAGCAAAGCCCGACGACAAGAAGACGAAGGCCGAGCCAAGCTGGGATTCGGATCCCGAGGACGAGAGGCTCAAGGACTTGAAGGAGCGGGACGAGTTTGCTGCCAGGCTGCGGGACAAAGACAAGGAGAAGACGAGGAATATTGTGGAACGCTCCGACAAGAAGGTAGGGCAGTGCAACACTGCCGCACAACTCCTCAAAGGGTGGCAGTTAAGAAATGCACAAGCATACCCGAGGGCTTCCACCACCAAACATTAGCTTGGCTTGGCAAGGCTCGCGTTTGGCAGCTGCGAACATGCGGCCACGCCTTTTGAAGGAGCTCTTTTTTTATGCTTTATTTCATGATACCAGCTTTTGTTCGAGGCACCTGCTTGTGCCGTCAGCTTTTGCACACCACCAAGCAGAGTGCGGACAAACTTGATTACCATATTTTTGGACCATAGTCACAAACTATACCTATTTAAGAGGTGAAATTTTACGTGGTGCACGCTCTTTACAGGTGCGGACTATACAAGTATTTTTTTTCCTAGATTGTTCGTTATAAGGAGGCATGACACAGCTCGTGAATGACAGTGTATGCTAATAGTGATTTACATATGATGCAAGCTTTTTTGTGCACTAATAAGGCAGGCATATTTTGAGGTGTGCTGCATATGAGAATTTAATGAGAATAGTCCGCATCTTTTTTTGTTCTAATTTTGTCCCTCTACACTGGTGCGGACTATAGTCCGGAAAGTATGGCACATGATGTTGAAGGGGCACTCAAATGGATTTTGAGATTGTCTATTTATTGTAATAACTCAATGTATGGGCTCTAAGCATCCTAAAATCCCGAAATTACATTCAAAGATGCTTAGAGCCCGTAGATTGAGTTATGACAATAAATAGACAATCTCAAAATCCACTTCAGTGCCCTTTTGAGGGGGCACCGAAGTGACCTTTGAGATCACCTTTTTATGGCGCAAACTCGATTCGTGTATCCCATAGATCCTACAAAATGCAGCATTATGATAGGGAGTTCTCCATTTTTCCTATTGAAAATGCAACCAAACGTTGCGTGTTCTCCCCCTTTTTTCTTAGATATATCTCAGAAATGGAGCGTGTCACAATGTTTAGCCGCGCTTTTAATGCGAAATGGTCGCGCGTCATTGTAACGTTGTATTTTCTTGTTCGCCCAGCGCGGGTAGAGGGAGTTGTTGCCCTGAAAGGCAAACTCAAGATCCACTTTAGTGACCCTGGGGTAAAAACCTTCTGTGGTATGTTTCGGCTTGTACAGTGATGACCAGTACAGTGATCTCTCACTGTCCTGGACACCTGAGTTCCCTATGAGAAGCATCCATATCGTGACTTGTCCATAATATCGAGACAAAGACGCATCGCAACCTGTCCCCAAAAATGTTGTCTATATATACCGAGGTATCCATACTAACGGGGTTTGCATTAACGAGACATAACTGCACATGCATTTCTATAGTCACTGACGAGATGAAAATGGTAGGGGGAGCTCCAGTCGTCCCGCTTGTGGCGTGAGCTTCCTAGCTTCAACAACACTCCAACGACTCGTGCACCTCGAGCACGCGCATGCAGCCAAAGCGTGGCGATAGGCATGTAGCATGTGCCGGAGGTCGGGCGTTGGGACATCACGCTCTGCCATTCCCACTCTGTCAGCGACTACAGGGCGGCTGAAGTGGGCGAGGGTGACTCGTCACCCAGTTGTGCGAGACTGGTTCCTCTCTGTCCCAGGCCTTTGAGGAGGCGGCCAAGCGGCTGAAGCTGGAGGCCGAGGACCGCAAGAAGATCCTGCCCAAGCTGCGGGTGGAGTCCCGTCGCAAGTACCTCGAAAAGCGGAAGGAGGACAAGCTCATCGAGCTCGAGGGGGACATCCAGGACGAGCAGTTCCTCTTCTCCGACGTCAAGTGAGTCTTCCCCTCTCTTTGTATTTGGTGATATGGTTTGGAGTAATGTCGTGTAATCACAACCAGTGGCGTAGCCAGGAATTTTTTTCGGGGGAGGAGGCTTGGGGTAGGAATGTGATGGAGAGGGGGGTTTCGCTATGGACGTGAAGAGTGGGAGGGAGCCGGATCACTCGGAGGGGGGGGGGGGGGGGGAGGGAAGGGGGGAAGGGGGGAAGGGGAAGGGAAGGGAAGGGAAGGGAAGGGGTTTGACGGAGAATCAACTTGTGGGGACAGGCTGACACGTAACATAACAGAGAGGGTGGCTCCAGTGGATCTCATGCTGTAAAGCAAGTCGAAAAATCGACAACCAGCATATAGAAGGGTCAAGCTTTCACTGAATGTGCATCAAGTGGTCAGTTACATAGGTCAGCTTTTTGGATCCAAGTCACTCAATATCGTATCACGCTCACAAAGTATTTTCGAAGTTCATTCACACTCTGATCAAAAATTTTGCCAAGATCCAAAAGCCACCGCCATTCGTACCAAAAAGTCCATCAATAAGGAAGTCACCACCACTCAAATCACAAAGCTTCTCAAGATATAAAAAGCTCATAACCCCTCACATCACCTGCGACTTTCATCATGAACAATATCATTGAAATCCCCAAAGTCAAACTCACAAAATGTCACGAAATATCACCGACCTGCAAATGTCATGAAATATCGCCAATATCACCAACAAACAAATAGTATCGCGAAATATCATCAATATTAATGACTCACAAGTATCATGAAATATTTCCGATATCAACAACTCACAAGTATCACGCAATATCACCAATATCATTGACTCACAAAATATAACCAAATATTATGGACTTACAAATATCACGCAGGCTCACCTCACTGTGCTGCCCGCTGTCGTTCGGTTCGGTTTTGGTATTTGCCGTTCAAACGAGGCAAAGCAATGGCAGCCAGGCTCATAGATGTGTTGTCGCTCCGTAACCACATAAATGGCGCTTGTTTTGTTTCTGTATATACAGTGCAACCCACTTAGGACGATAATCAGAAAACCTGAAATTTCAGTCGTTATAACCGATTATCGTTGTATCTGGGCTATAGTTCGTTGCAACTCAAGAAGGTAGGGTGAGGGTAAGACAGGCCGGGGATGAGGAAGCAGACGAAATGCTAAAGAGAGAAGGAGGTTTTTCCCTTTCTTCTCCAGCAGTCTGTCTGCTTCCTCCTCCCCGGCCCATCTTACCCTCGCCCTACCTTCTTGAGTTGCAACGGACTACAGAAACTGATCATCTCCAGTCTATAAACTCTAGAAACTGATCGCTACAAGTGGTACATCGTTATATGTCACATCGTTCAAGGTGGGTTGCACTGTATTTCTTCGTCTATGTGTGGTGCGCCCCATGATCATGTGGGTTTTTCGCAACAGCAGAATCCTAGAGGGGGAAGTGGAGGGGAGAGCTAGAGAGAGCCTTGCCATGTGTGAAAAACGAGGGAGAGAGGGAGGGCAGTGCCTCTGCTGTAGAGTGGGGTTTTGCATTCGTATATGAGCATTGTTTTGCCAGGAAGGCGTCCTAACAACTACCACTGTAATAATCTTAACTGTTGACACGCACAACAGTATAAAGGCCATGTGCACTGCCCTGAGAGGCGGTCGCACTGCCCGCTCACACGCAATAGCATAAAACGACCGCACACCGCCGAAAAGAACAAGTGCATACCTTCTATGCCCAGCAGGTCTAAAAACACACGCGTGGAGTGACGTTAAAAGTAAACACGCAGCCCTTTCTCGCATGACACTCGAAAATGCACGAGATGCAGGAAAGGGCGAGGGCCCTTCTTGCACGCCTTTCCCATTTGCCACCATCGAGTCTACTTCAGTGTCACATAAGAACCTGTGAGCATCCCCCGACCACGACGGCAGCCCCCTCTCCCTGCTGAAAACCTTCCTTCGGGGAGGCAGCTTTACATTCGTGCTATGCAAAGCTCCAGTGTGCAGACGCGTGGTATACTGCTTGCAGGGTCAAGGTCATTCGTTTGAGCGACAAACCAAAAGTCTCCTGCATCCTGTTTTGAAGTTCCAACAGATTAATTTGCAAGCAGATGAACTCACAATCTCAACACGGAGTCACTTCATGTCACGTCACAAGCTCTATATCATAGAGTCACTCAAACCCACTCACAATCAGGCGATGAGTGTGAGTGAGTCTGATTGAGTTAGTTTGTCAAGGTATGGTCAGTTTCACCTCTTTAAATTTTAAGGCATATTTCTCTCTGTAAAAATGAGACCAACAAGCTTGCCAAAGTCAACGATGGAAGGGTTCACAAGCGACCGTGTCAGTGATGATTAGAACTTGTGGTGCCACCTCCCAGTAGGCACAACGAGCGGACAACGGAGTATGCCATATGCTTTCTGTTCTTTTCGGGAGGTGGTGCCACAAGTTCCATTCATCGCTAACTCCGTTGTTTGAGAACACGTCCGCTGTTGACTTTAGCAAGGTTGTTGGTCTCATTATATGTGGGAAGAGAAGTATGCCTTCAAATTTCACAAGGTGAAACTCACCACCTCAATGCAAATCTGGTGAAATCTTGACCTTTCTACATGCTGGTGCCTCTGGCTTGTTTTACAGCATAAGATCTGCCGGGGCTATCCTACGTTTGTGTTTATGGCTAGCTTAAGTCAGGAAGTCAATGTTTCACCTATGTTCTAGAGCAGTGGTTCCCAAATAGGGGTCCGCGGACCCCAGGGGGTCCGCGAATCCACTTCTGGGGTCCGCAAAACCCTCAACAAAAAAATTTTTTTTTTTTTTAGTTGGCACGTTTTTTGTAGTTTGAAGCGCGAGTGTGCTACGTATTGATGAACTGACCAGAATGAAGTGATGTGGCACCTTTGTTTTATGTTTTTCTGCTACGTAGCAATAAAAGGCACCTGTTTCATGCTCCAGATGTGTTAACTTACTAACGTCCCCCCCCCCCTCCCCCCCCCGCTGGAAGGGGTCCCCCATCACTGCCAGCGGTCTGCAAGGGTTCCCCAACACATCCATGGCTGAGAACCACTGTTCTAGAGTTTTACCAAGTAGCTCAAATGATTGCAGTATTCTTGAAGTTGCCCTCGATAATGATATTCTTTTGTTTCAGGCTGAGCGAACGGGAGCGGAAAGAGCTCGAGTACAAGCAGAAGGTCCTCACCTTGGCCAAGGAGCACGAGAAGGCTCGCGAACTGCAGAATGTCCAGCGCTATCGCATGCCCGAAGAGAAGAAAGGCAAGGTAGGCACTCCGACTCTGACATCTCGGTGACGTGGTTGAAACGACGTGGTCTGTGTCCCATCCACAGGACGACATTGAAGAGTATGTTGAGGTGGACGCCAAGGAGCAGGTGCCGCAAGCGGAACAGCGCAAGTGGGAAGAAGAGCGACTGGGCATTGCCCAGCTGCGCTTCGGTGCCAGAGACGCCCACGAGAGACACAAGCAAAAGGTAGTCGAATGCTGGCTTCTCTTATACTGCTTTACTGCTTGCTGTTTGGTTGTTACTCTCGTTGTTATTTGTCTCTTCTGCTTTCTACTCTAATTCGAGAATGCTGGTGTCATTATATTTGCACGACTCGTCAATGCGAGTCCTGTCGGTAACCTCAGGCAATCTGTGACATAGGTGAAATCGTTTCTTAGAGTGGGCTAACCAGTTTCATGTATGCTGTGCTATGAGTGAAGACTGCTGCTTGGGAGTGTTCCTGCAACCTGTTAGAACTGAGGGTAATTTAAATTTGAACACAAATTGAGTCACTGTTGAGAGGTTAGTAACCTAGTAGACAAGAAGAAATAGTAGGTAAGGTGATTTACTTTAACTAAGAGTAGTGTGTATACGAGTAGTATAATTTTGCCTGCTGTAAACATAGAAGATTCTGCTCCATGCCTGCGCAGCACATTAGGACCACTGCATACTTTTCTTGTGTTCTGTGTTCTTGTGTTCTTGTGTTCTGTGTATATTAGAAGACTATACTTGATTGTCTCGTGAGGTTAATCAGATGACTTTCTGCTTTCATGTAAGCAAGGGTATCAAAGGAAAAGAAACTAAGCGGCAAAGATAAAACAATTAAAATATGACTTGCAAATTTGTTAGCTAGAAAGGTGAGCGAAACTTTTGCTTTTGTAAAAAGATTTCTAAGGACGCCGGAAATAGAAGTTTAAGAGCTGAGTTCCCGCCTTCTCATTTATTGTTTTACGTCATTTCTGTTTGGTCCATTGTTGCTATGGTCTGTTATGACACGTTTAATTTATTTGTGGTCTTGATTTACAGGAGAAAAAGTATGAGCTGATCTTGGAGGATGCCATCGAGTTCGTCCAAGCTCTCCGGGTTCCCGGGACAAAGGATAAGGTGAGACCTCGTGCCAAGCTTAGGTTTCTTGGGCGTTATTGTGGCTTCTCACTCTGAATCGTGACGCTCTTATCTCTGCAGCACAAGGGTCCCGAGCTCTCCGAGGGAGAGCGCAAAAAGCTCTCGTTACAAGAGACTCGGAGAAGCTTACCTATCTTTCCCTTCCGTGAGGATCTCTTGCAGGCCATAGCTGATCACCAGGTAAGCCGGCTGCCGACTCCGTCTAGTGCTACGGCACCTGGAACGCATCTCCGACTTGTCTGTCTGTTGTGCCTTCGCTTCGAATTCCTCGATGTCTGCCTCGCAACTTCGCAGCCATGTTGCGATCCTAGCAGTTGCGCACTAGTGGAGGTGAGTGTGGCAGATGTCTGTTTCGCTGCATGTTGCTCTTCAGCTCGACGGTTTGCAAAAGTTTCGTTAGCCACGAGTTAAGATGCTGCAACGACGGCGACACTTGCGTTCACTCGTCTTATTTGCTGGAGCAGCTACCACAAACTGTCCAACAGCATGGCATGCCAGCTATTGTGGCTTATTCTGTCGCTACTTTGGGACTATTTAGTTTGGCAGGGCAGTATAGGAAGCTAAGCACATCCATGGAAGATGAGTTCCAGGTGCCGTATTGTTACTGTGGCGGGCATCATTCTTTTTTGCTAGGTCCCTCAGTCCTTGTCCTAAAAGTGTGTCGTGTAAACTGGTCTTGCCGTGCTTGCAGACTGTGTGACCTTGCAGGATTAGCTTGGAATTGTTACACATAGTGAAGGTTCGGGGTTTTGGATAAATCGGACAAAATCTGAAAAACTCTTCCCAGCCAGTAACATTTCTGTTGGTTCAAATTTATCCGAAAAACTCCAAACTTCAAAGTCACAGTGGCCCCCCCCCCCCCCCTCAAAAGACGGTGATTTACAAGTAAACTTTATGATCGCACAGGGTCAGTGGTCTGGAAGAGATACGATTTCAGTTTCTTATAAAATCTCAAACTGCTGACAAAAGGGGTTTGCCTTTTAGCCTGTCAAGGTTCCCTGAGGACGAAGAGGTCATGGTACCCAAACTTTATTTTGTTTTTGAATTTTTAAAAATTGAGAACAGAGTAAAATAAACTCTAAATTTCAGAGAAATGGGAATCTAACAAAAATAAACTTCGATAAACCGAATTTTCAGCGAAAAATGAACTCCAAAAAACACCCTCTGAATTTCACGAGAAATAAACTCCAAAAACACAGAATCCTACACATGATGTAGATCAAGTGACTCGAGCTAAAAGGAGGCCGAAATCAGAAGGAGCTGTGCAACGATTTTGACGTTGAAAGAATTGGCATCTTCTATTTTTGAAGTTGTTCACCTTGTCACAAAGGACAGACAACACACCTCCTTCCTTCGAAATGTTGCGATTCCGCCGCGTAATAGCGAGGCAAAAATTAGAATATTCCCTGACCTGCAGCCGCGAACGGCGGCCGTGAGAAACATGCGGCATGACATCAATGGGATTCTTGTAGAAAGATAGCAAGTTGTGCGAACACCTGCTCGATAAAAGGTAACTTTTCTATAAATCTTGTCGTTCCAACATAAATATAAATGTGTCAAAAACCTGGTATCATTGACAAAACTATTATTATACGGAGTTTTAGTGGCGCCATCTATCCTAGTTCCACAAAACCGTCAGCTCTATATGCTACTGCGAACAGCCGCCAGAAGCCGGAGGGGGAGGGGGACTGAGCCGGACAGGTATGACCGGACTCGGATGAGACTTTTCTCCTTTCACCATATTGTTTGCACTGCGCCCGCCAGCATGGGGTCACACGGTCGCGGGCGGATGAGTTCTCGCTGTTCACTGATGGCTCTAGAGAGAGACCTTCACCGGAATTCCGCACCAACCCCATTGACGTCACAGCACACGTGACTTGGAAGATGGTGAAGGAGATGAGAGGCGCCGAAAACCTCAATCTTTGTTCATTTTTAAAATAAATCTAGGACACGCAGGCAAAAGCGGTGTCTTGTTCTTTACTTTAGAAAGGTCGAGACACCAACTCCCAAATTATTTAAGCAAAGCACTAAAACTGTTGCACAGCTCCTTTAAACTCCGATTTGCAGAATCGTCTTCTGCCAGCAAGAAAAATTCGATTCTTAGTTTCCTTCTTTCCATTCACTCTCACACTCTTCTCTCCTCCTCTCCCCACATGAGCACATAGCCACCAACCACAAGGGGGCTGGGGGCCAGAGCCCACCTTGAAAAGAAGGGATGCCGGGCTACCCCCCCACCGGTCAGGGGTGAAATTAACATACTACCAAAATATCCCAAGTCATCGCCCACCCCCCTGCCGCCTGAAATTCATAAAAAGTTGGAGCGGGCCATGTCTCCGTGGGTGAGGACAAAAAGCGGAAAAAAATGCCCTTTTGTGCGTATCTAGCGCGGCTGCACAAGAGATACATTAAAGGGGCACTGACACGTCAAAATAATATTTTTTTTATTATGCGAAACAATTGAAAACGATGCCTGGACATTACCTTCAACATTCGAAACTTGGGAATTCAGTATTTGTGAAGTAAAAAAAAGTGAAAGCTGCTTACAACTCCCTCTAACGCCGAATTAGAGCGCAGCTCTTGAGGAGGAGGAGGGAAGGGCACTGGGGGGGGGGGGGGTTAAACTAACCAGGGGGGGGTCACGTGACCTTGGGGGGGTCACGTGACCCCAATGCCGATGATGTCATCACTGACGTCACTGATGACGTCATCAGTGACAATGACGATGCGGGTACCGATGACGTCATTAGTGACGTCACTGATGACTTCACCAGTGATGATGACGATGACGATGCGAATGTCGGTGACGTCATCAGTGACGTCGCTGATGACGTCATCAGTGATGATTACGATGACGATGCGGATGTCGGTAACGTCATGGATGACGATGACGATGCGGATGCCGGTGACGTCATCAGTGATGATGACGATGCGGATGCCGGTGACGTCATCAGTGATGATGACGATGATGATGTGGATGCCGGTGACGTCATCAGTGATGATGACGATGACGATGTGGATGCCGGTGACGTCATCAGTGATGATGACGATGACGATGTGGATGCCGGTGACGTCATCAGTGACGATGACATCATTGGGGGGTCACGCGACATCGGCGGGGGTCACGTGACCTCAGGGGAGTCACGTGACTTCGGGGGGTCACATGACCTCGGGGGGGGGGGGGGGGTCACGTGCCCCCCACGAGGTCACGTGACCCCGGTGGGGTGCTCGCGCGGTGCATTATGGGACATTTCCCATGATGCACCGGGGTCACGTGCCCCCCCACGAGGTCACGTGACCCCGGTGGGGGGCTCGCGTGGTGCATTATGGGACATTTCCCATGATGCACCGCGCGGTTACGCCGACGCCGCTCAAGCCGGAAACGGGCCCCTAAGAGCTGCGCTCTAAAAAAAAAACAATTTTCAAATGCCAAATTTAAAGTTCCCGCACGATCCACGCCAGTGGAGTGACGTCAAATCTTTAAGGGGTCCTGCGAGTCGAGTTTCTTTCACGCCTCCGCTCTTAAACGTTTTTTCGTGACCCGAAGCGAGGAGGTGAGGAGCGGGAGAGAAGGGCCAGGAAACCAGTTTCCTGCATGCGTGCCATGCTGCCTATCGCTGCGAGCAGAAGACGCTGCCCCGGCAGAGTCACAACCGAAACTACGATACACAGACACCAAACCCAGTTGTTTTGACCGTTCAACGATTTCGTTTTCGAAGTCTGAGAGGTTTACGGGCACCTATAAAAGACCACTTTGTTCGATTCCTCCGCTCACCGATCAATCTCTGCTACATGCGTCAAGCGCCGCCATGTTTTCCGAGGGAGAATAAAAATCCAGGAGGCGACATCACACCGGACTTTGATTTTTGGTATTTCAAAAAGACTGTAGTGCATTCACAATTGCATTAAAAAACATATTTTACGATTTCAGTTATTAAGTTTTATAGAAATGTCACCTACAAAGCTTCTAAATTTCATGATTTTTGACGTCACAAATCAAAAGAAGCGAAGAGGTGAGGAGCGGGAGAGAAAAATGCCAAAAATAAAAAGGCGGGCGCACGCGTGTAAATCTTTTTTTCGCGATGCGGTATTTTTTTGCGTGTCTAACTACAATTTTTATCATTTTAGACAATAAAAAAATATACGACCTTTGGGGTGTCAGTGGCCCCTTAAACTTAAAACTTCAATTAGTTTAATTATTTTATGCAAAGAGTGCTCATGAAAGAATGTTTTACTATTACAAAGTCCATTGCTTGCATACGCGCTATGAACACCGCCGATCAGCATATAGCGCGAACGGTTGTTCTGTGAAAGCCCGTTTCAAACACCGTCATGTTCTCCTCGTTAGTGACAAAAAAAAGAAAAGGTTCACAAGAAAATTGAAAAACCAGCCAGGCGCAACAAGCAAGCGGGCAAACGAAAGAAGCGACGAAGAACGATGCTGGGGGAGCGGGAAAGCCGACGATCCATTGGCAAATGCTTTGGCATCGGGCCAAGTCAGGCGCCTTGTCAATCACAAGCTCTTGTGGAACTTTCTTGTTTGGTGCATACATGCGTGTGTCCGTGCACGGCGCGCTATCAATGCAAATTAAGGTGGCATTGCTGCGTGGCGGAAATGGCACCATGAACAGGGAGCTCGAAGTGGGACACTCTACAGACATCTGTGTGTGGTGTTCCAGCAAAGCTTTATTTACCCATTGGCCTTGTCTTTAACATTTACAAGTGTGGTTGCGACGTGCCGTGAGAAAGGGCAGGTTCCCAGCGACCTTACAATGTTGGAGACAGACTTTGACCTTACACTCTGTGGTTACATTCCAGGATATGGTGCGTTCGCTTACCTTGTGATCCCTGAATGGGTTACGGTTTGCGTTAACTTCCCAGCTTTTCTTTTTTGTCGGGACAATGTTTTTGTAAACAAAACAAACTTTCGTTTTGTTATCTCTATCGTTTTCTTTTTGCACGGATACACTACGATTTCGGGGTCACTCGCGGATAAGATGCAAAGCAAAGAGAAGTTCTTTTCCTCTTTCGTTTTACTTTGTCAGGAACGTCCTCCAACTGTGAGGTTCGCGGCCGCGTCATTCGGGTAGGATGAATGTTTGTGTTGGGGTATTTGTAGGGGTGGGCGATGACTCAATGTTTTTTTGGAAATCGCTATTGGCCCAAAAAGTGGGGTGGGCAAT